TTAAGATATCATGTTATATGATTGTGATACAATCTTAAAGGATGTTAAATTAACTTATTTTAAAGGAAAGGGATAAACTAGTTGACTACATGTAAGAGGGAGATCATATGAGCAAGTATTCTTTTCTAATTATGGCAAGAATAAATTCAAAATGATCATTTACTTATGTTGTAATAAAATTGGGCACATAAAGAGTTATTTTGCTTTGAAGAAGAGAAAGAAGGAAATGTATGATGCTAATAAAAAGATCAATCAGTTGATGCGAATTTTTTATGCAAATTTTTATGATTATGAAATTAATAATGCTTATTTGGTGAGTAAAGATAATAGATATAAAGAGCAGTGCATTTTAGACTCAGCTTGTTATGATCATGTGCATTCTACTTTAAAAATGTTATTCATATATAAGCCAAGTTCTAGTTGCTATGTTTACATGAGAAATAAAGCTATATGTAAGATTGTAAGTTCTGGCACTATGAAGTTGATGGTCTAAGGTGATGTCAGTATATCATTACTTGGTGTTAGGTATATATCAAAATTGAAAAAAATTATAATATTCTCTTAGTTTTGCATGATATGGAATCTTCGGTGATGTTTACACACATAAGGTCTATAATGGTGCATTAGTTTTCCTGAAGATGAATAAAGTAAACTATTTGAATATAATGTCATATGTTGATGTGTTGAATTCAAAAATTATGCTAGGAGCGGTTGAAAGCAAGAATGATATTAAGGTGGTGTTTGGCAGCCGGATTTGAGTAGGATTTATGTTAATATTAACGAAAATCTTGCCAGACGTGGAGGAAGTTAAATCCAAAAAGTGTCTTCTTCCATTACTTTTTAACCTAAATCCTGATTTATTAAATCCGATTATTATGTATATTTATCTTATTTAACTCGGGAAGAAAGTGAGAGGAGTGGATTTATGCCAAACAGAATGAATGAATTTAATGGATATAACTTTAAATTAAACAAAAAACTAATCTAGATTTACAACATTTGGATTTGATAAATCCGGATTTACCAAATTTATTAAATCCTATTTACTTTAAGTTCTAGTTGCAGCCAAACACCGGGTAAGTATATAACATCATATGTAAAAATAAGATGAGAGTTAATGTGCAATCTATTTTTGATAACTTTTGGAGAGCCGTGCAAATAAAATCTTGATATTGTGGGAGCTTTCAAAGGATAAATGGTCATTACATGATAGAAAAAAAATTAAATTAAAGAAACAATGCAATAATTAGAAAATGATTAGTAGATCTGCTAGTGATGGAGACAAAAATATTACGAAACTGCAGTAACCTTTGTGACTTCTGACATAGAGGTGCCGCACAGTGAAGCACTTCAAACTTAAGCATTAAGATAATTTATCTAAAATTTTGATTCTCTGTTGGAGATTGTTAAGTCTGAAGTCTAATTTCATGAATTATTTTTGGTAAGAGTTGATCTTGATTATTCAAGATTGGTAGCTTCTAAAAAGTCCTATTTGGAGGCTACATAAGGGTCCCAAATGAAGGCTATTATAAAGTGTTGAATGGAGGTTATCATAAAATCCTAAATAAAGACTATCATAAAAGTCTACAGTGGAGGCTACAAAAATCTCCAGTGGTGATTGATAACTAATATTAGAAGGTGAACAAATCAGTATATAAACTCATGTAATTATAATAGTATCGCATTTATAATAGAAGCAACAGAGAAACGAGTGGAAGTGGAAGACTGAAGATAAGTATCATCCATGAAAGAAAGATCAAAAGGAAAAAAATCTCTCTCGTGCTTGTAAATGGAGTTCTTTGGCTTCTTTAAGGACTATAAATTTATTTCTCATATTTGCAATGGATGGAGGTATTTTCTTTCAGCTAGATAGAGTGCAATCTTTGTCAATATCTCTAATTTTGTATAAAATGTAGTACTTCGTGTGTCTCTTTTAAAGCTTAATGAATTATTTAATCTACGTGGCTGTGATCTTAGGGTTACTTTATCCGAACCATATAAGTTTCGTGACTTTTGATGTATCTTTTGCAGTTGCTTTTTGGTTCATCATATTTATTATAAGATCGATGGCACCTTTTTCCCCATTATTATGAGACAATGATTGCAACCAAAGTACTCTCCTTAGTTTGAAATTACCTTATCTCCTTGCACTTGGTTAATTACTTATTACTTTTAACCTTAGGTTGATTGTCATGGTCACGCTTACACTAGCTGAAGTAGACTAAGCCTAGTTCCTAAGCAGCCATTTTAATCAAATGGATGGATCAATCGGGTTTAGATATAGCTTTAAGTCTATGAAAACCTAAATGGGTCCATTGGATCAATTTAGCTTAATTGACATAGGTTGGATCACCTAAACTAATTAGCAAAATAGCTCAACAAGATCAAATGGGTGTTCATTTTGGTTCAACTGGGTTAATTGAGCTAATTGGTTCAAATAAACAGTTGATTTGACTCACGTAGGATGTGTTTAAGTCACCCAAGGGGTTTGATTCAATCAGTTTGATCAAAATGAGGTTTTGGATCATTTGGAGTTCAATTGAGCTAAATTGGGCTCAATTTGCCTAATCGATGGATCATTGGGTCAATTCCATATATGGTGAGTCAAATTTGGTTAGGCTTGATTAAAATTAATTTGATTAAATTAAGCTAATTTCGCCTAAAATTTCAACTTTTGTTAATTGAATCAAGTGACAAAATCATGGGCCAATTGAAGGAAAGTCTTGTATGATTGACCTATTGAAATTTGGTTCAAAGTGTTAGATTCATTCAATTTGGTTAATTCATTTAGGCTTAATTAGGTTAAAGGTTCTAATCAAGATTCGTTAAAAATCTATTGTTATCAGTAGGTCATGTCTAATCTACTAGGACCTATTGAGATTATTGTCCAATTTTAGTTGCTTTAATTATGAGGTTTGGGCCCTAATGACCTAACTAGATTCAATTGAGCTAAACAAGGGTTAAGGGATCTTGTTTGATCTATTAGTTAACTTTAATTACTTCACTTATGGCTTGATGGTAAAAACTCCTTCGAAGGTGTTTGACCGATCAATAGATTTTAGGGGTAAAGGGAATTTGGAATCTAGGTTGATCATCTGTTAAACCATAGTCAAAATCCAAGGATTCTATGGTAAATTACAATCAACGTTATTAAAGTACTAGGGAAGAAGATGGAATACTTACACCATTAAATAAGTCATCTAGAACTTTATACTAGGGTTAGATCTAAGTTGAATCTGTCTTTGGTCAAATTTAGTGATGAGAAAGGATTGAGATTATGGTTTGAAAATTTAACATTTCCTCTTATGGGATTTGTTAAGTTGAAAGGAGTTTTATAATCATTTTAGAGTTTAGTTTTGGGCAAGTTAGTTTATGGGTTTGGTTAGGTTTTGTAGCTAAGTTAGGGTGCAATTTAAGATTGAGTTAAGGACTATTATCGAATTCAATGAGGAAAAAGATGGTTTGTATCATATCTTGAATTAGCTAGATCATCAAACAAGGGGTATTTATTCAAAGTATAAATAATTTATATTGGGCATGACCGGCTCAATCTAACATAAGAAGCAACTAGAGTCGATCATGCCTATGCTTCAAATGACATTTGATGCTAATCGCCATAGATTGTTAGAGACGAAGACAATATATCGGACATGCCAATAGTCTATATATATTTCTTCGACTTTTATAAAAACATCACATTCAGATACTTTATGAACACTTCACGAAGTCCTTCAGGACAATTCTTAGATTACTATAATTATGAGAATTATCATATATCATATCAAAATTAGGAAGTTCATTGACATTGCAAAAATTATGATTTAAAAGTTCATATGTATATATTCATTTAATGTCCGTGTTCGTATATTTGTGTTTGTGCATCATAGCTGTTAGATGGATCATAGTGCCAACTCCTACCCTCTTATCATTGACCATTAGCCCATTTATTGCTTTCTAGATTTTTAAAATAAAATACGGACATAATGTTATCAAAGTAATGATCTTTTACCCATATGTTGGGTAAGTCTATCCTTTGAGGGATGAGCTCGAATGAGCTTGCCCAATGACTGACCGATACAATATGCTACAACTCAGCAAGTTCATAGGTAATGAGCCTCATCCTCCAATGGTTTACACCTCATTAGGCTAGCCCATGCATCATACCATGTCCACCTACTGAATTCCTATACTCTATCTTTATTTAATCTACCCTCTCTGAGAAAATAGGAATCCTTGGGTTGTATGGAGATTCCTGATCCAAACACACATTATGATTCTGAGTTTTTATTTTTTCATCTGTTTAATCGCTTCTCCTTATTGTCGAACTGGTATTCTTATTAACTGCATGCCACTGTATCCAACATTATAGAAGCAGCATAAGCCAAGTGGATCCCTTGTGCGGGATTTGCACCTCAGTGATTTATAAATCTTCATTGTTTTGTCTCCTCTGAAGTATTAATTTTCTGCTTTGTCAGAACTCTTTGATGTAAAACCCTTAGGGATTAAGAATTCCTAATGTAAACTCTGATGATATAATGGATGTTGATTTCACAAAAGAAATTGAAAATTGCTTATAGAAAATTATAAATTACCAAAAAATGCCCTTCTTTAAGTGTAAATTTTAAAAATGTGAAAGTTTAAACCAAATGATAATGCAATGATTGATTAATATGAAGAAAGTAATGAGAAAATTGACAAATGAAAATTTGGCAGCAACTAAAATTTTACACCTCAATCACCTTGTTTTAGCAAATTTTGACAAAAAGTTTGATTCTGATGTTGTCAATTTTGTTAACATGGATTACATCAAAATTAAGATTATACTAATTCATGTAAGTGGAGTGCTATCCATGTTGTTAACTAACGGATAACTTGAATCTGATGTAAATTTTTTTGCTAAATAAAATTGTACATCAACCATCAAATTACTCCATTTCGTTATGCAATGAGATTGTAGCTAGGGGCTTATGTTCCCTATGTAAGATGTGTGTATTTTGCAGGTAGCCTTCAGGACAAAAGTATTTCATCCAAATATCAATAGCAATGGAAGCATTTGCCTTGACATTCTGAAGGAGCAGTGGAGTCCTGCATTAACCATTTCCAAGGTTTCTTCTATTACTGCTGATGTGCTTGTTTGGAGTTCATGAACTTTCGTATGAATTTTGATGTTGCTCATGTGCTCATTTTCTTCTAATGAAGCTGAATTAATGATTTAGCAGCATTTAACAAATACTAGCTCCTTTTAGCTCTTTACTATTTTTCTGCATAAAATACTAACACTTTAAGCCATATGATCATATAATACAGCCCTAGCTACTTCAAATAAATATAATACATGTTTTGAGGTCTGCTGGCATGGTTGGTATAAGTGCCCTGACACCATTCATTTCTGAAGAAATAAAAAACATGATAGTCGAGGCCTTCCTGGTAATGATTTTCATCTTTTTTGCTTTCTAAAATTTAAAATGTAACAATTTTGATTTATACAAGCAATAGATGGTAGAACTTCTCTATAAGTGATTTGGGAGGAAAAAATTACCTTAGGTTTCTCCCATGTCTACACCAACCTCAGGCTCCTTGCTAAGGCATTGATTTATTAGTCCTCTCATACAGTGAATTGTTTCTTAGATAATGGTTAGAAAGTTCATCTAACTAACAAGCAATTAACATGTGGTGCTCATCTAGGCACATTAGGGCTGTTATATCCAATAAAAATTGTCCAACTTTATCCCACCATCATGTCATATTAGAGTGGGCCTTTCTGAACATAAGATATTGTTAAATCATTGGGAAAGCTAACTTTTAATCAATTCACTCTTGCTAAAAGTTTGAACGGTGTTTCATGAGTTAACTACCCGACTATTGTACGTTGTTCTCCATCTAATATGCTATATCCTATTCTACTTGAACATGGGTCTTGTTACTTGTGTTATTGCTACTATGGAGAATTGCTAGACAGTGCGATTGAGTACCGCGTATCAACTTCTTAACGGCTTAGGTACTCCAAGCCAACTATCTTGCCAATACTAAATCTAATCGGATCTATTCAGTCTACATCAAAATCAAATTGACTAACTTGAATTTAAGTAAATCTACCACTTTAATGATGATAAAATTGGTATCAGAGCCATGAGTGGATAAAACTTTTCTGGAGCTTTTTTTTTTGTAAGTAAATTTAATATGGTAATCTAACGTTGTCAGGATAGGTATATCTTGCATCAGAAAGTCTGGTGTTGCTCTGCAACTTAATATCCTTCACTGACATGCAAAATTATACTGAGTTTGACCTTTTTGTCGGATCATATTATTGCTCTAAGCTAACCTTAATCCAGTAGTCATCGTCTCATGTGGGCGTTTTTATGTCCGGAATGGATGCTTTGTTCCCTGGTTCTTGTTGACTCGACTTTTTTGGATTAAAACCTTAGTGAGGCAATAATGTTTTAATCTAGTTGTGGTTTAATAATTCTATTAAATTTATTTTATGAAAAAGAGTTCTAGATGTTTTACTGGTTGCCTTTCATTAGCACCTATTCATGGTATAATAATACCATAATATCTAGAAATCTACTAAGATCTCAATCGAGAAATAATAATATTAAAAATGCAGAGTTGCAGAAATACCTTGCAAACAATGAAGACAATGAACTATTCCTTAGGTGGAAAAGGCTCTAATCTATAAAATTGGAAACCTTGATTTCGAAGGTAAATCATCAATTAAAACTGTTGAATAGTTGTTAACAATAGACGAAAATGAGAAAACAATTTCACTTCTAAGTCAAGAAAATTTAAATAATTACTTAGAAAATTATAAATATATTCACATAGGTTTAATTCAAGTAACATTTAAACCTCTTACACTATGAGGATTAAACATTTCAATTTTAGCCTGCTTAAGAGAAGTAAGATGCCTTAATTGGACACAATCATTGATGGGTGTCATGGAAACTAGTCTATGTCATGAACCAATTTTCTTCAAGATTTCAAAATTTGGGATATTCATGAAGAACCAAATGTGATGTGGGATAAAGTAACAAACACTATTAAACATGTAGCAAAAAATGTTCTTGGAGAATCAAAGGGAAAAATATTTACAAATAAAAATAGTTGGTGGTGGAATAATAATGTGCAAGAAAAGATAAAATATAAGAAGTTATGTTAAAAAAAATGGTTTAAATGTAAAAGTTTAGAGAACTGGAGAAAATATCAAATTGTATTTTCCAAAATTAAATATCTTTGTGTTTTAGGATTTGTGAAGATTATGTGCATTTTGAATGACTTGGCTCATGAAAGATTTTTCAAATAGTTCTGTAGTCATAGTAGACCTACCAAAATTTTCTTGGATTTTTCTAAGTAACATGCTAATTATTATGATTAATTTATGCAAATAATAGACATAAGCTTAAAAAATATGGATCTCTATTTAGAGGTCTCCCCTAACTTTAGAAAAATCAAGAAATGTTCCCTTTATTAGAGACTACCACATGTCAAAATTGCAAGCCATGGTGAAATGATTACATGCATGGAGAGTTAAAAGACTCCTAACACTAATTGATTTATTAAAAATGAAATACACATCAAATGGACTTCAAATTGTTTCACATTGTTTTCCTCTATTCATTAAGCAAGAGGGTATTTTTATTTTATTTTTATGATTTTTCTACATAAAGATATGGATTTTTGAAGATAGGGAGCTTCTTTCGATTTATTTAATTTCCTATTTATCTTCTTAAACATGCGGTGCCATGTCAACCTGCGACGGCTCTGAAGCTCTACATGGCGCACTCTTATTTGATGCCGCCATCCACCTCAGCAGTGACTAGGCCAGTGGTTCATGTAAGGGAGAGTTGTCCGGCTTGATCTCGTCAGTTGATGAGATGAACGCGCAATCGGACGGTTCTCCGTCATCGTCCCCAATGCCTTAGCCTGAGGACTATCCATCTTCAAGGCTTGATATCTTGCTCATTTCTCAACCAAATTGAATGATTTTTTTTTTAAATGCTTCTCTAGACTAGAGGAACATATCTATATGGTTAAGATGCCATGAAATTAAGCCTAAGAAAATGGGGAATCAAAATAAGCTCGGGAAGAGAGGGAGTTCAATACCTTTGCTCTAAGAAGGGAAGCTTCAATCAGAGGTGCTTAGTATGTTCATTGAGGTCCAAGGAAGCTAGGGATTGAGCCTCTTGCTCTAGTGTAAGGTCTAGGTATGAATTTGATCAAGCTTGATTTCAGGTGTTGGTCTAGAGCTATGTTAGGGTCCTTACGGAAGGGGGATTTGATGGAGCTTATTATTCTTCCACTGTGGTGAAGGTGTGGGTGAGTTTAATTTGAGTTTGGTGGACTGTGGAGGTGTATTGAGCTTTGCCATGTTTTTTAGCAAAAGATTTAGCTTAAATATGGGCATCCACAGTGGGAATCAGTAAGGGAAATGGTTGGCTTGAGCTGAGGAGGTCTCAAAGAGTCTCTATGAGCAATTTGGAGGGCTCTCTCTGAGAAAATTTCAACACACTTCCATGGTCATGAAGGGGAGCTTTTTTAAAAATTAGTTTAGGCTGGATGCCCGAGTCAATGTTTGGGTGCAATGTGATGCTTAGATGGAGGGCGAAGAGGCTCTAAAATTTAAATTGGGTGAGCTGGCCTCTAGGTTTTAATTGGGTGAATTTAAACGGGGGTGGCCCTCAATTTTGGCTTCTCCGGCGGCTCGACTTATGTTAAGAAAGGCAGAAGTAGACATAGGAAGACTTGGGCTCATTGCATAAAAATGATCTTAATTTATTAGCACTAAATGAAAATATGACACTAAATAGGACGCAATGGAGAAAAAGGATTCATGTAGCCGACCCCACGTAGTGGGATTAAGGCTTTGTTGTTGTTGTTGTTGTTTCCAAATCTAAGTCTGCCGCTTACAGACATAAATCTCTTCGAAGTAGCTAAAATATAGATCAAATTACTCAGGTATGAGTTTTTATCTGGATCTGAAACAATCATAATATTCTATCGATTTCATTTTAAAGTTATAAATACTTTATGTCCAAATATTAAAATAATATGAAACCTACGGATAGATCTACTATTGTAGAAACAAATTTGCTAGCTTCAAATATATCAACTAATAGGACAATAAAATGAGATGAAGTAAGTTTTCCTGAGTCATGACAATTACAAACTGCTATTATTTCTCACATTGTAATAAATCATGATGTATAACAAGTTAGTCAAGATACTAACGATGATGTTCTGAGAAGATTTAATCCAAGAAGATCCATTACTCTTTCACAGGTATCTTATCCCTCTTCAAATCTTTCTCACAATGATTCTGATAAACTTTCATCACTAAATCAATTAATAAATAGAGTTAATCTATCTTCTAATAATTTATTACACCCAAATCAGGTAGAAAATCATTCTCCGCAATCATAGGCTAGTTTTAATTTTAATAATGGCTGACTTAATACAATTCGCTCAAAAATAAATACTACAAACTTTAATCAATCATTATTTACAACTAAAATATGAATCGTTTAGAAATTGGTATCGTAGTTATACTACGGAAGATGATAAACGAAGAAATTTTTATATTTATTTTAAAGAAAATAAAAGTATATTCAATAAAGGAAAATATTTTCTTTCATTTTTAACATGGTTTAGTAATGAAGTAACAATAAAATTAGAATATGAATTAGACATGTTAACCAGAAAATGAAAGATTAATTCTGGAGAAATGATAGAATTTATTTATCCTCCAACTAATCACACAATATTATATTTAGATAATAGAAACATAAATTTTTGAGTTAAATGCTTTTGAAAAAACTTTGGAAACTAATGCCACCAAAGATTTTATTAGTGTAATTAAACAATTACAATTTATAAATACTAATATATCTTTCATTTCAAATCACTTAATAAAACTAGAAAATAACATAAATCAATCTATTTTCTCTTTAAAAACTCAAAACGAACAGAAAATAAGTTTGACAATAATTTCTTCAACTCCTGCTATACAACTACCTCCCAATTCTAACTTCCATTTAGGGTCATCTGCTCAGGATTTTGAAAAAATAATTAAAACAATAAATGATACTAAAATTACGACCCTAAATAT